TCCGGCCCCGCCGTGCCAGGGTGGCACCCAGGCCCCTGCAGGGCAGGTCGGGGTCGGGGCCAGGGCTGCCTCGTTCCCCGAGAAGTCGGTCCTGAGCCAGCTGCAGCTGAAGCTGGAGAAGCGGCTCTTGGCGGCTTCTGCCTGCACCAAGTCGGTGGAGCAGGGCGCGAAGAAGCAGAGGAAGGCCGAAGCCGGTGCCCGCAAGGCTGCCAAGCAGAGCTCGCCTGCCCCCAGGGTGGCCGGAGCTGACAAGCTGGAGTACAAGGACAAGCACCGGGGCACGCAGCAGACCATCATGGCCTACCTGGAGACCTGCCTCTTCCTGGACAAGCCCGACTGGGCCCAGCAGTGCCTGATCTTCTGCTACCACTCCCGCAAGTACCGCAAGCTCCTGTGCAGCAAGATGTACAACATCCTCCTGCGTGGCTGGGCCAAGAAGGTACCCGGGCTCTGGTGCTGAGCTCGCCCCTCGTGCTCTTGGGTGGAGAGGCTGTGGATTCGAGCCCCAAAAGTGCCGTCGGTGGAGCTTTCCCCCGTGAGCCAGGCCCAGGGGCTGGTGGCTTCTCCTGATGGGTTTTCTGAGCTGTTTGGTCTGAACTCCACAGCTCCATGCAGCTGGGATCCACAGCAGGTGTTGGGTGGGGGGGATCAACTGAGCCGTCCCAGAGGCAGGACCTGAGCTGGTCTGGGAGCTTCCCAGACCCTGCACCCTGGCTCCAGTTGGCCCAGAGCTGGCATTGGTGCTTCTGGTGCCACCTCCATTGGCAGTTTAGTTTTGAGATCCAGCAAACTCAGTGGCTCTTTCAATGGGGGTGCTCGGTGCACCAGTTCAGGAGAGGTCAAGGGGCTGGAAGGGCTCGAAGCCTGTTCTGGGAAAACAGGGAGGGCGGTTGGTTCTCTGCTTGCTCCCTTCCTCCCCCAGCTCTGATCAACTCCTCTCCTCTTCCAGGGCTCCCTGAAACAGGTCAGTGGCATATTCTTCATGCTGCACAACGCCGGCCTGAAGCCCACCGTGGAGTCCTATGCGATGGCGCTGGAGTGCATGGGCCGCGTGTCTTGTGCGCCCAAGAAAATCAGACAGTGAGTCCGCGCAGCCCTGGGAGACGAGGGCCAGGGCCAGGATGACGCAGCCAGCCTGAGCTCTTGCATCTCCGGCTTCTGTGAGAGGGGCTCAGAGCTGACTTTTTTTTTTTTTGCTTGGTGCCTCCTCTAGCCTCTGTTCCCAGCAGCCTGGGGCATAGCTTTCCCACTGCACCATGGCAGGGTGCTCAGAGGGGCACATGCATCCATCCCAAGCACCTGGATCTGGGCAGTAGCTGAGATCTAGGAGCTGCTGTGTCCTTGCCCTTTCCTGACTGTGGCTCCAGCCTCTCCTCAGCTGCCCTTGGCTTGGGTCCCTTCCTCCTGGGTGTGCCTTGTTCCAGGCTCTGTAACCCAGTGCTCAGAAGGCAATTCCACTGCCCCTTCCCCTGCTTGCCGCTCCCTCCTCTCTCCTGTGCCAGGAACTGGCAGCTGCCTGTGGGTCCCAACCTGTTGCCCTGCTGCGACCCACGGGCAGCCACAGTGCACTGGTTGCAGAGTGGATTGGGGCCTGTGAGAGACTCCAGAGACATCTCAAGAGGCAGCCAGGGATGACTCTGGGAGGGAATGTCTTGGGCTGGCCTGGTGGTGATTGCGGTGCCTGGGCAAATCCCTCGGGGTAGGGTCCCATCCCCTCCCTGGACTCGGGGATGCTGTGGGGTGGGTCGGGAGAGGCTCTGTTGCTCCCAGCAGCACTGTCTCCTTGGTGGCTCCTGTTCCAGGTGCCCATAGAGCTCAGCTTCAAATCCACACATAGGAACTGCTCATGTTGATTCCCAGACATCTGACACAACCCTGGTGTCTTGTCAGGCTCCAGATACCCCCTCTTCCTGTCCTCAGGTGTGCCTGGCCAGTCTTCCAAGGCAGTATATCTCAGTGGGCAGAGCACAGGGCTGGACCCAGCATGACCTTGGCCCAGTCCCCTCCCCTCTATTGGGTTGCTGTCCCTACTAAGCTCCTAACACCACAGGGCCTCCATCCTGCCTGAGGTTCCCGGGTGCTGCTGCAATGCAGGTCTCTCAGCCAGGGCTTGAGACCTGATAAGCAAACGGCGCAGCTTGCAAGCCTCGGCCAAGTACCTGGGGATCCAGTCTACCTGCTGAGATGCAGCTGCCTCGGGTGGAGCGTGGCAGCCAGGTGCATGGCACTGTGCCCTGTGGGGGAGTTGAAGCCAAGGGTGCTGGGTTCCTTTGGGCCCTGGGTTGGCAGAGGGAGGGTTGCTCACCATCAGACATGCCTGGGTGAGATGCCAACCTCCCTGCAGTTGTCCCAGGGCTCCTGGGACTCTGCCGTCCTCTCTGGTGCCCACCCATCACTTGCTACTTACCACGTGCCAGCCACCAGGTGGTGCTCGGAGCCCAGGCACTTGCAGGGTGGCAGTTCTTTTTGCCAACACCTCAGCTCTTGGCACCATGACTTTTTTGGGCTCTCAGGGGATCCCAGCATAGCAGCTTCTCTGGGCAGCAGGGAACGCCAGCCCTGGGGTCTGGGT